GCTATGTAAAGATAAAATATATTTTGCAATGTAAGGATAATTCTTTTTTTTGTGTTTGGGAATATTACATTAGCAATTTTTGGGAGATAATATTTTTCCAGATACAAGTCCTGCTATTTAACCAATAAGTTGTGGGGAGATTGATTCATACCTTTCCCAATGTAACAAACCTGACTGGAATTTGACCTTAGTCCTTCGATTTCTCATTTTGAGCCATTATTATGCCACTTTCCCATCCCTTTTGCTGGAAACACATCAGATAAGAACAAGCAGTTTTTAGCAGAAGTGTATGTGTTGAAATTATTTTACTATTACAACAACATTGTTTTTAAAATCAATCTACACTAATTGTTTGATTATTGTGGCTATACTTTTGAAGTTAGCTGACTCAAATATATTAACATACTACCCATCAAAAATGAAGGGATTATTTATATATAGATCAATGCATCTGCCAAGCATCAGAGTATCTATCTGCTCTGCCAAGGATCAAATTGTCAATCTTCAGCCCTAAGCTAAGAAACTGAGTTTAGTATCTGTGCATTCTGCCCAGTATCAAAGTGTTGCTACCCAGCAGTTTGACTTAAGATCAGTGAATAATTTCTTGGTTTTGATCTTATTAACATCTTTGGTGCCATTCGGCGCCATTTTTTTGTGACATATATGGGATGAGAAAAAAAAAACAAAAAAAAACAAGATCAAATTTTAGTATATGTTTACTTTCAGCCATATTTTTGTTATTGGGCATGATAAAGCAAGAAACACTGTGGCAGCATCTCCACATTGCATCATTTGGATGAATAAAACTGACCATAGTGTCAAAATCTACCCATAGGAGAGTATGCTTAAATATTCAATCAGAGTGTAGTATCTGTACACAAGAAAATGTATAATAGATACCACACTGCACTCATCAGAAAAAAATGAGAAAAATTAACTATAATCACAAGTCCTTCTCTTTAATTGGTGCATTAATTTAGTGGTTTATTCACTATTCCTCTTACAAAAGATTTATAAATATCATTGATTTATTTTTTAAAAGGATAATTATATTAAAATTTAAAAATATGAATGTTAAACTTCATTATTTATTTGAAATATTTTAAAATTTATTCCCAGCAATATATATAAATGTATATGTGTGTGTAAAAATTCAGATAAAATATATCTGTAAAAAGATAGTCTGAATAAAGACAAAAAGAAAACTTGTTTGCCAACACATCATATTTGCCTTGATAAAGTCCCTCAGGAGATGAAATGCACTGATAAAGAAAATTTTCCATTTGTCTTTATATATATATATATATATATATATATATATATATATATATATATATATACCTTGAATAAGTTCTCACTGTTTTCCAACATATGGTGTTCCCAAAATTGCGTGTGTGTAGTTTCAGATGGTAATGCATCTAGAAAGAAGTACTATAAGTAAACTTGAAATTCAGTGTATGTCATTTCACTTTGTTTTTCATAGTGTTAAACATGTTGGGTTTTGTGCCAAAGAAAGTTTATTTGCAGGGAATTTTACTGCATTACTTTATTCAAAAGAAATCTGCAGCTAAAGCTTACAGAATTCTTGTTGAGACTTATGGTGACCTATGCTGAGATTGGTTTAGATGCTTCAAAAATAATGATTTTGATGTTGAAGATAAAGAACGCTCTGGTGCACTGAAAAAGTTTGAAGATGAAGATTTGGAGGCGCAAACTGAACTTGCAGAATCATTAGGAGTTGATCGTTGATCACACAACAGTCTTGAAACATTTGAAAGCATTAGGAATGATTCAAAAGCAATGACATTGGGTGCTGTACGAGTTGAAGTCAAGTGATGTCGAATGGCATCTTGTCATGTGCAAACACCTGATTCATTTGCAGAAAAAGAAAGGGTTTTGCATCATATCATGACCAGCAATGAAAAGTGAATACACTATGATAACCCTAAGCATAGAAGAGTCTGGCCATGCATCAACATCGGCAGCAAAGCCGAATATCCATGGTTCAAAGCTTCTGTTAGGCATTTGATGGGATCAGCTGGGTGTAGTTTATTATGATCTGCTCAAACCGACCAAAACCATCACAGGAGATCACTATCAGCTACAATTGGATACATTTGAGCTGAGCATTGAAGAAAAAATAGCCGCTATACGAGCAGAGACACAACAAAGTGATTTTGCAATATGACAATGCTAGGTCACATGTTGCAAAATGGGTGAAAACCTACTTTGAAATGCTTAAATGGGAAGTCCTACTCCACCTGCTGTATTCATCAGACACTGCCCAGTACGATTATCACTTGTTCCGATCGATGGCACATGGTCTGGCTGAGCAGCAATTTCAGATTTATGAAGATGCCAAAAAATGGGTCAAGTCATAGCTAGCTTCAAAATATGTTGTTTTTTTGACGTGGAATTCAAATGCTGTCAGAAAGATGGGAAAAAGTACGGCCTAGTGATGGACAATACTTTCAGTGACATGTTTCTTACTAATTTTTGTAAATAAAACATTACTTTTCATTAAAATCAGTGAGAACTTATTCAAGGTCTTTATATATATATATATATATATATATAAAACAATTTTTTATCATTAAATATCTTTAAAAAAAAGATATGCATTTATTAACATCTTCAGTGCCATTTCTTTCGCAACATATATGGGCCAAGAAAAAAAAAAACGATGCAGATCCTCCCAAGTCTAAATAATCTCACTAGAAAACAGGTATTAATCACAATGGTGAGCAGAGGACAAAATGAAGACAAAGCACAAATTTCCAAAAGAAGGACATTAGAAAATTAAATTACTTTGGCACTGAATCTGTTAAACATTTTTGTTTCTTTGCTGGCTTAGTTTGGTATTGCCAACAGACCAGCTGTGAATAGTGATGATCAGTTCATCAAAACATTTTCCTCAATAAGGGGAATTACACATAAGCAGCTACATAAGATGATTCTTAGTTCAATGAATGAGGACCACTTTTGGTGGCTATAATGTAATAGGCCATGAATTGTATAATTTGTTTTTTTTGTGGAGGAGCATTTTAATATTAATTAGCCTAAATATATATGAAAAAAAAATGAAAGCAAAATCTTTCTTGGTTGTCAAACCAACAGTTAAACAAAGAGATCTTAATTTATTTTAATAAAAGACAGTTGTTTACACCTCCTCTTTTCCTGGGCTCAAAACTGCCTTTACTCCTTTTTCCATGGGCTTGAGACTACATTTACTCATCTTTCCCTGGACCTCGAGACTACATTTACTCATCTTTCCCTGGATCTCGAGACTACATTTACTCATCTTTCCCTGGACCTCGAGACTGGCTTTTTTACTTTACTGGACCTTTCCCTGCCTTTTACTCCCTCTTCCCTGGGCTGGATTGCCTTTACCCTTTTCCCTGGGCTCGAGATTGCCTATACCCTCCTTTCTTTTGAGATTGCCCTCCTCTTTTCCTGGGCTCTAGATTGCCTTTTACTCCTTTTCCCTGGGCTGAGATTGCTTTACTCCTCTTTCCCTGGGCTCGAGATTGCCTTTACTCCTCTTTCCCTGGGCTCGAGATTGCCTTTACTCCTCTTTCCCTGGGCTCGAGTCTGCATTTAATCCTCTTTCCCTGGGCTCGAGTCTGCATTTACTGGCTTTTCTCCTCTTTCCCTGTGCTTGGAACATGCTGTTCTTTCAATAAACACCAGTGTTTGAATTTAATGTAACTGATATTTTGAAATGATTATTTACCCTAGTAATAACCAGGCTGATTGTGCAAAAAAAAAAAATCTTTTCAATGCCTGATCTGTCAGCTGCTAAGATGTTCTCTATCAACAGTAAAGGTTTTATTTCAACACACTTGTCATTCTTAAGCCAGAAAAGACCAGAATCAGTATCATTTAACTTTGGTGATCTAAAAGACTTTTCATTATAATACCAAATCCAGATATTCACTCATCTGGAACTTTCTATATGAGAATCTAGAAATGGATATACTTAGTTGTTCTTCTCTCAAATGCATCATCATTGGTGAAAGCTGAAAATATCATCTGTTCAGATTGTTGATTTTAAAAGCACACTAACATATCAATTATTGATTGCACTTTTCTTATCATAAAATAAACAAAAAAATGATTGTATTCTGGAGGGAGAATTTGTGTTTCCCAGATGCAGAGTTCAAGACAAACCATTCCAGATAATCCATTTTTTAGGTTCTCTCTTAGATTTTTCAAAATTAAACAATCACTAAATGGCAAATTCAAAAAATGCTTTTTGAAAATTTCAACCAAAGAAATCTTGCCAATTCACATTAATAAGAACTTCACTTTTCTCTTAGTTTCTTGAATAACATTCCTGGTTTTATGTTTTACCTTTTTAGGTAAAACATAAAACCAGGAAGCATTATATGGGAGGAAGTAGTTTTCCTTTTCATCTGATATGACAAAGGTTTCCACACTCTCCATCAAATATGGTTCCTTTATGTTTTTCAGAAAATCACAGAAATACACAAATCAGCAAGAAACTGCTGATCAATAACAGATTCTATTATCCAATAAGGAACAAATAGTTACATTTTGGATAACAGAAAATCCGTCTTTTGCTGCAGATTCCAAAATTGAACAATCTGAAATATATGTTCATTTCACAAGGATCATGAGTATATCCTGACCAATTGATAATCTTTGTAACCAATCAATGATAATAAATATTTTTTTGAGATTGGTTTAAGATTCAATAGGTGGGGGTCAAATGAGATCATCAGCAGTTTGCCCAACAAAGTATTAATGAATTTCTAGGAAAATTCCAAGATATGACTATGACCCGAACACTCAAATATCACGTCACAACCAACAATTTGAAAGATTGGTGATAAGAATAAGCACAAATGTTTGACAGAAAGAATGGTGCCAAAATCACAAAGCAATGATTGCTTTTAGCAAAATAGTGTTCATCTCTTATCTCTGGTAGGCTGACTGACAATAAATGGGATAAATTCATGGAGACTACTTGGCAATCTTCAGATGTTTATAGATTTTGATCTGAGTTCAATTCCACAGCAATTTTCTCTGGTTGATCGAATCTTTCTTGGTTGTGCTGAAGGTTTTACTTTGAAATTTAAATTGGAGACATTGTGATGACTGCAAAAGAAAAAATTATTCTTAGAATAACATATAAAGATGGAAAATATATCAGAACATCCCATAAGCAATGTTTAAATTTATAGTCAGAAAAAAATATTATTAAGAGTATAAGTTCCAGATTATTCTGTTATCTTTTCCAAATGAAAGTTTGATTCATTTGGGAAAGATATCAGAATAATCTGGAAATTATACTGGGAGCAAACCCTCCACATTCAGATAGAAAATTAATTCAGTAAATATACAAAAATAGAAAGGAGTTTAAGACAAAGATGTGTCTTCTTGCCAGATTTATTCAACCTTTGCAGCAAAGTTATCTTGAGAGAATTAGAATTAGACACACTCTTAACAACATAAGATATGCAGATGACACAATGTTGATAGCAAACACCCTGAGAACTAGCTACAGATGACAGGAAGTTTTGGAGGGCCATGACTGCTCACGTTCTGAAGGGACACAGCACATAGAAGAACTCATCTATCAGGATGGTTCTGTAAACTCCAGAATTGGTGATAAACTAGAACAAGGTTTGGAGAATATGGAAGTTTTTTTTGTTTTTTGTTAGACACCATTTTTCAGTTTTTGCAGATGTGATCTTTCACTGTATAGGACTATATATTATCCTTATGGAATGCTACATCTTTACAGCTAATCAAACTGAGTCTTTTTTTTCTTCTTCAAATCAGTGCTTAAACATTCTTGCTGCTGACATGAGATGCCTGCTATAATCATAATAGACAGGTAGCAACTCAAAGTAGACCACCTCAACATAATCCCAACATACCTTGCATGGAGGTTCATTTTGGGTTGTTCTTTAAACAGTAGCCATCAACAACAGATGTTTCAGTGAAGATTAGCAGATATAAATTGATGATTTAAAATTTTGCCATCAATATAGATGTCATTAATTTGATTCCTAAATGACTAATTGGCAACTCTAGAATTAATGAGGTTACATATGGGATGAACTGATATTATATTTTCATCGTTAAATATAATCCAGTTTTAAAAGAAAATATCAGTCTGTCAATATCTGATTTGGGATCTTACTTATGGAATGACCTGATATTTTTCTGTTATTAAATCCCTACATGCAAGCCACCAATCTGCCACTGGGTGGCATGCCAATGGCATTTGCCGCTGGTGGCCTGCTGGCGGGCTACTGGTGTGTTCGTCTTCGTCTTGGCAATGTTACCACTGTCAGACTGCTAGATGCGCACTGGTGGTTGCCACAAGAGGACCACTGGCATTGCCATCAGTGGCCTGTCAGTGGGCCACTAGCAGCTTGCATGTAGGGTTGTAATCAAATTTTAAAAGAAAAATATATTTTACAATTTCAAGAAATGTTTGGACAACTGAACTGATTCATTTTTATTGTTATTACTACAATGTTTTGGTTAATTCATTGTACTGCCTTTTTCAGACATAGGTCGATCTATATGCTTACAGATTAAACACCTGATGAAAGGATTGGTCCTAAGACTGTCCTAACAACAAAATCAATGGATTCTGTCTTCCAATGATGATTCTCAAAATCATACAAAGTATCATCACAGACTGCAATTATATTGATTTCCTACCAAAGAAATTTGCTCACATTGCAAGTTTCTATTGAAATATATTGCAAGCTGTCAGTGGTTGTGTTAGCAGAAGGTCACAAGTCATTATAACTGAGGTTTGAACATATTGGCCTTGTTCAAAACTGTTGATCAAACCAGATTATGTGCTCTCTCCCAGAAACTGTAACTAAGGTCTGCATAATCACAGTACAAACCACAGGTTAGCTCTGTGGGTGCTGAACAAAGACAAATATGCCTGAGCAGCTGTCTGCAATTAGGATTAGCTAGTCCTTCCAGCAGGCAGGTATACTCAGGCATGAGTAGTCAACCATCTATATTGCAAGAATTTTACCCAAGAAAATTTTGGCAAGTATTATTTTTTATCCCTAAAATGTAAAGTATTTATTAAATATTTGACTAAGCATTTAGAAATGAGTTAATGTTCAAATAGTGTCATATTGCAAAACGGTTTCTTTATATTAATGTTTTATAATGCACTTTCATCTTAGCAAAATAAACTCAAGTTTTCAAGAGCTAATGATTCTCTTGTGACAGGTGAATGAAGAAAAACAAAGCTTCATTTTCTTCTCAGATCTTATTTCAATTTGCATAAATCATAATATTAATTATTTTCAAAATTATACAATAAAGTTGATTGTGGTTAAATATTAGTTATGACTATTATGTTTTGCATATCTTTCTGTGTATTAGTAGTCGTAGTACAGTTCTTCATGTTCTGAATAGCAATCGGGTTTGCTAGGCATAGCCACCCTATGTTCGCCAGTTGTTCTCTATTTATACTTGTCTATCTAATTTGCATACAATGCTACAATGACATACAAATTCTAACCGTGTCAGAAGTTTTGCTTTTAATTTTATTCATTCTCATTTGATGATAGAGATTTTGGATCACAAAAGAACCATTAATAGATTTGTGAGTACTTAGATAATTTGTTGCAATAGAGGCAATAGGTCGGAAGATAGTTATGACTGAGCATATTTATATACAAATTAAAAGGAACTATGTCTAGAAACATGACACCTTATTAGACATAGGTAATATCTGAAATATAGTGATTTTCTAAGTGTAGCTTAGATGTGGCACAAGGCCAAAAGTATGATGCACCCAGTGAGGATTGAACTCACTACTCACTCATAATTGTTCTAGCAGGACAAACTTGCTAACCATTACACCATGCCAAGGTGTCTGTAATATCTGAAATATAAGGGGTAACTAGTTCTATATATTTCTTTGAAAAAAAAAATTGTTATCAAACAAAAAGCTGTGTGTTTGGCAAAACTTACAGTTCTTTGAATGGTATTCGGTAAGGTAGTGTTTTGCTTCTTGTTGTGCCTCTCGTTGACTGTGAAATAAAAGAAAAATAGAAAGATAGACTGATAGATTTTACTGGAGCAATTAAGAATTAAAAAATTTAAATAATATTATTCAAAGGAATTAATTTTCAGATGTGAAAAGCCTTTGGTTCTACTAAATCAACATTTTGCTTGGTTAGTACTTAATGGGCAACCATTTCATAATAACTTCAGATTAAAAAATGAAAAATTAGATTGATTTGATTTTTTATGGCTTATCAGCCTTTTGCAGGTTATTTAAAGCCAGTTTAGTTTTAGATTCAATAGGAGCAGATATGTTTATCTATCATCTGTTTCACACTCCTTCCCCATCTTTTGAACAGGAGTAGAGTTCAATATTTACATTATTCAGACTATTGTCCACATCTTTGTTGCCATATTTATTAACACATTTCGGCCATTGTACACTCTGGCCTTCTTCAGATGGTTGGAATGTCGAACTGAACCCTTTATTTCGCTCACTAGGGTAGACTGTTCTAGTTCCACATGCCATGTCTAATGGATGTCAGTTATCAGTTATCTCCTGCTTAATTCCCTCTCCAAGTTCTCCACCGCCTTAACCAGGTATTGAACTCACACTCTTTGTGTCTTGTCACTGGATCTAACTAACGCCTTTATCCACTGTGCCATATGAGGAAAGATGAGGACAATAGTCTGAATAATGTAAATAGTGTACATAATACCTTATCTCAGAAATATAGACAGATAATGAAAGGCAGAAATGTTGTAATAAATATGGTGACAAAGATGAGGACAATAGTCCAAATAATTTAAATAGTGTACATAATACCTCATCTCAGAAATATAGACAGATACTAAAAAAACGGAAACGTTGTAATAAATATGGCGACAAAGATGAGGACAATAGTCCGAATAATGTAAATAGTGAACATAATACCTCATCTCAGAAATATAGACAGATACTGAAGGGCCGGAACGTTGTAATAAATATGGCAACAAAGATGAGGACAATAGTCCGAATAATGTAAATAGTGAACATAATACCTCATCTCAGAAATATAGACAGATACTGAAGGGCCGGAACGTTGTAATAAATATGGCAACAAAGATGAGGACAATAGTCCGAATAATGTAAATAGTGAACATAATACCTCATCTCAAAATATAGACAGATACTGAAAGGCGAAACGTTGTAATAAATATGGCGACAATGATGAGGACAATAGTCCGAATAATGTAAATAGTGAACATAATACCTCATCTCAGAAATATAGACAGATACTGAAGGGCCGGAACGTTGTAATAAATATGGCAACAAAGATAAGGACAATAGCCCGAATAATGTAAATAGTGAACATAATACCTCATCTCAGAAATATAGACAGATACTGAAGGAGTAGAGTTTTAACCCATTGTTCCGTTTAGGACTGGGTTTCAGGTTCCTTCTAAAGTATTTTCATTTTCTTTCACTCCCAGTAGCTCCTTGCGTTTTAGCGGCATTATCGTCTTGCATAGGGTGAATTGATTTAAAAAAAAAAAAAAAGATTGTAAGAATTTTGGGGAGATAATAATGATTTAATGATACAAATCTTACTAATTAACCCATAGCTGGGAGGAGAATAGGTGGATTCATACCTTTCCCAAGGGTATTTGCATGTAAGTGAATATAATGAACCTGACTGAAATTGGAACTTGGCTCTCCGGTTAACAATTCTAAGTTGTTATCCATTACACCACCTGCACATCCAAGCTTACAGCACTTGGTATTCCCAAGTGGTCACCCATCTTGATACTGACCAGGCTTGACATTGTTTAACTTTGTTGATCATATGGGAATTAGTGTTTCAACATGATATGGTTGTAAGCCAAAAAATAAGAGGAATGATTAGAATGTTTTAAATAATGTATTAAATAACAAGTTAAACTAAATTAAATAAATACTTAAATCATTTCTTAAATATCTTGAAGGATGTGCAGCTGGTGTAATGGTTAGTGGCTAGGAACAAGAAATTGTTGAGCCAAGTTCAAATTCTAGTTGAGTTTGTTACGTCCACTTTTGCGTAAATAGCATTGGGAAAGATATGAATTAATCTCTTCTCCCCGCACAAGCTATATGTTAAAAAGCTGGGTAGTCTGTGCTCTCTAAACTTGGTTGGCACCCAGTCTTTGAATTCAAAACTGTATGCCATAACACATACTATGTAGCCATCAACAAGATCATGGAGTTCACAATGACTCTATAATCTCGGCTGAATTTAACCTATGACTATGTTGATGTATTATTATTGTTGTGGAGTAGCTGAACACCCCCACAAGATGGGCTGGTCTAAGACTATTTAAACTGTGCTCTCTTTTACTGGCAATGAAAATTTTGAGTGTAAAGATTTCCAGTGTAATAATAACACTGACCAAGAATTCGGGTTTAAAGAAATTTACAGTCATATACCAAGAAATTGTTGGCGATGACTCAACCTTGGATTAATTCCAAGTCTGCATAACAAATTGACATATTAAAAACAAGTAAGAATTTTATTGGTGCAGTAAATGTTTATGGGGAAAAAAAAAAAAAAGAGTAGGAAATTGTTTGGTCAATTAAATTTTGTCTCTACAAAAGAACATGGAGGATTTAGAAGAAGAAAATGCAGCAGAAACAAAACGAATAGTTGGAGGAACAATGACGTTTGGACCATGAATGATCTGAGAAACAAAATGAATAGTTGGAGGAACAATGATGTTTGGACCATGAATGATCTGAGAAACAAAACGAATAGTTGGAGGAACAATGACGTTTGGACCATGAATGATCTGAGAAACAAAATGAATAGTTGGAGGAACAATGACGTTTGGACCATGAATGATCTGAGAAACAAAACGAATAGTTGGAGGATCAATGACGTTTGGACCATGAATGATCTGAGAAACAAAACAAACAGTTGGAGGAACAATGATGTTTGGACCAGGATTGCTGAGAAACAAAACGAATGGTTTGAAAAAATGTTTGAATTGTTAGGGTTAAAAAAGGAAAAAGAGCAAGGCAATGTAAATTCTTTTTCTCAGGAGTTGGTGTTAAATTCAGTTGGCGAACTTAAGTACAGTCCTATGGCGGAGGTAACTTTTGTGGCATATTTTCACTGTTATGAAGAGGTTTTTCAAAAAGATTAAGTGAACCTCCAGATTCCTGTCGACAAAAAATGTGCAAAGTATTTAACTATAAATACGCATGAGGGTCTGTAGAGATTCAACACAGTCATCCGGGATAAAAATTGCATAGGCATTTTCCAGCAAATCATGGATATGATAGTTGACTTCACAATAGTCTACCTTGATGACATCTTAATTAAGAGTGAAAGACAAGAACAACATGCCAAATATGTTAAAGAAGTTTTTGAAAAAAATAAAATAATATGGCTTGAAACTTAGTTTGTATAAATGTGAAGATTTTTTTTTTATCTAAAATTAAGTATTTGGGGGACAAGTTATAGATGCAAAAACTGAAAAACCGGAACCATTGAGGCTGAGTGCGATAAAGAACATGCTTCCCCCAACAAATGTGTTGGCGCTACAAGTATTCTTGGGTCTAGCAAATTACTATGGTAATTTTATCCCAAATATGCTTGTGTTAAGAGCTTCTCTAAACAAATTATTAAATAAAGATTTTAAATGGAACTGGAGTACTGAATGTCGAGTGCTTTTAGGGAAATTAACAAAAATATTAATGTTAGACTTTAGTCTGGGGCATTACAATCCAAATAAGGATATTATTGTTGCAAGTGATGCTAGTAATTTGGGCTTAGGAGCTTTAATATTAAACAAAGAAAGCAACAGTCAAGTAAAAGTGACTGCATATGTGCTAAGGACTCTATTGCCAGCTGAAGGGTACAGCTAAATCAAAAAAGAGCCTTTTGGGTAATTTTTGCAGTAAAAAAGTTCCATGGATTCATTCATGGAAGAAGTTTTACACTTCAAACAGACCACAGACCACAGACCATTATTGTCTATTTTTGGTTCCACAAAAGGGATTCCTACACATACTGTAAATCGACTTCAGAGATAAGCAACAATATTATTAAATTATAACTTTAAGATGGAGTTCTTTTCATCAAAGAGGTTAGGGCATGCAGAGGGGGTATCCAGGTTAATCCCCAAACTATATGAACCATTAGAGGAAACGGTGATAGCAGCTCTAAGAATAGAAATGGAAATAAAAAGTCTGCTGTGCAATACCATATGGAAATTACCTATGATGCTCAAGGAGATCAGGAAAAAAACAAAAATAGGCAAATATATCACAGAGAAAAAGAAACAAATTATGAACCAACAGTACAAAAAGAATGATGATGAAAAGATTTTTCTATCTATGTATATAGTTTCCTGACATCTATAAATTGGAAAAAAATCTTTTAAAATGAATATGCTGATATGGTACAGATAACAATAGTAATGAATTTTTGTTAAAGTTAAGCAATAGTGTACCAGGTGAATATTAAAGGAGGTAATCATATTTCCAAAATAAAAGATAGGTTTGTCTATTGTCCAGTTCACACACCTCGCTAGTCTTATGAACAGGAGTAATGGGTTTATTCCTTGTTTCTTGATTGGGATTGGGTTTTCACTTCCTTCTAAGGTCTTCTCATTGATTTTTATTCCCAGCCCCCACCCCCTTTGCAACTTAGTGCCATTATCGCCTTGCTTGTAGTGAATTGATTAAAAAAAAATAAAATAAAATTTATTAGTAACAAAAAACCTCCCGAAAACATCTCATTTTTAAAGATCTTGTTCTTTATAAATCAGGTTGCCATGTTTACTAGTGTTTCAATCAACCTCTTGATGACCTTGTGCTGAACGGTTTCATAAATTTTGATCAGGTTAAAAGTTTCCTTTTGTTACGAGAGAACTGAACTTTGTTTTTTTGTTTTTATTTTGTTTATAATGCTACCCTACACATCTTTACATATATACGTTTCTTACTTCCTCCTTTCTTACAACAATTTCATTCAGTAACTTTACCTTGAGTAGCTCTTGGGACTTGTATTGAGTGAACAGTAAATAAAGAAATTGACAATGACTCACCTTTGTAGATTCAGATCCATTGACATCTGAAAAGATGACAAAAATGCAGATAAGTTGAAATGTTTTCAGTTTTTGGAAAATATAATGGGAACTTTCTAATTTCTAATTTAATCCCTGATGTTTATGAGATGTGGAGAGGGAGAATAGAATTGAAAATTTTATAAAAAGAAAATAGATATGATTTGTTTAATTATACATTGTGCAAAACATCAGGTGGAGTAGATGCAGTCTATAGTATGGAGTCCCACACCAGATCATGCAGAATAGACTTTGCACTTGACACAGAGAAAATAGGTATAGGAGGTGACATGACAGATGACCTTCTAGCTGGGTGTGGAGATCCACAATTCACCTGTCAGTGGCGACCTTGACAGACAAATATGTGTCAGCCCAGCTGCAACTGGAATGTACACATGATAAAGAACTGCATGACAGAGATTGATATATAAACACTCACCCCAGCAATGAGAATGACAGTCTCTCAGATGTCACAAAAAAGAAGGTAAGGTTCATATGTTGGATGTGTCAGCCCAGCTGCAACTGGGATGTACTCATTATAAACAACTGCATGACAGAGATTGATATATAAGCACTCAGCCCAGCAATGAGAATGGTAGTCTCTCAGATATCACAAAAGAGAATGTAAGGTTCATGTTTCAGACGAGGAGCCTTGGGCTGCACACACACAGGTTGATAGTAAATGTCAATGTCAAAAGTGGAATAAAATGTAATTTTAAATACAAGATATAAGGAAGGAATCAAAAACTTATTTTTCTCTCATTTGATTGCCCCTCATTTTGATAATGTTTCTAGTGCACAACAACTTAGGTGTGAATGTTTCTTTTTAAAAGTGGTAGGAATTTTACACAGGGACAATTCCAGTCTCATGGCCTCTAAGGTTGTTTTTTTCTGGTGGCACGATTGTAAACATGAAAGGAGACCTTCATCTAACTTTCCACTGACCAGCCAATGACCTCCACCCTACCTTGCATCTCAGTTTTTATTCATATCAGCGTACATCAAAAACTGGGAAAGGCCTGTTGTGCGTTCACAAGGAAATAATAAGGGAAAACAAAGACCATGACGAGAAATAAGAACTTGAACCCTGCTTTGAATGATATAAAATCGGCATTTTATTCAAAGCTTTACTTGCTTGGTCTGGGTGGATAGGTAGATGGGACAACTGCTGTCATGTCATTCTAACAGTTCTACTCCCCCACACATACACACCAACCCACTGTTTATCTACATCTTGGCACATTGCTAGCAATGGGCAGACAATATCGAAACTATCTAATAAAAAGTCTGTCCTCAGCCAGGGGCAGGCTTGTCCTTGATCCCAACTGTGACAGTTATAAACAAGTAACTGGAAATAATCAATGTCCAGTTTGTTATCGCTTGACCTCACATGCTTTCTTTAACCTACTTGCTCTCTCATTCCTCTTTGGTCAATTGGTTGTCACCTAGAAGACCTAGATCTGCGTCCTGGGTAAGATGATAATCTATCGTCTTACCCAGGACGGCCTCTGATCAGGAGGTTTTGAGGAGCATGGAACCACCTCTTAATTACTGATGTTCCCAGGTCCACCCTGACCTGGTGTGGTAGCACCTATTAGTGTCCCAGCTATGGGTAAATAGTTACCCCCCCTAAAAAAACTGGGGTCAAAACACTATGTAATACCAGAAATACTTTGTTAAAATTATTACCAGAAATACATTATTACCAGCAATACATTTTTGAAATAAAAAAATATTACCAGCAATACATTTTCGGAGGAAAAATATTACCAGATATAGATTTTTGAAGCAAAAAAAAAATATTACCAGAAATACATTTATGAAGGAAAAAAAAATATTACAAGCAATACATTTTTGAAGGAAAATATTACCAGCAATAAAAATTGTTGGCATTAAATAACCCATTGTGGTTGATATGCCATAAAACAAAACAAATCAAATCAAACCAAATAGCCTTGACCTCGATTTAAGTCAAGGTTGTTTTTTTGCTGTTGCTATAGCAGGATGTGACAACACAACCATGAAATTTAAATATACCCTTATTTGGCAAGTGGAGTCAACTGCAATGGCAGGACAAATGCTTTCCTTTATCTACTTGCTCTCTTGTTCCTCTTTGGTCAAGTGGATGTCACCTAGAAGCCCAGTACTTGAAAAAACCTCATCTGCCAGCCTTGAAACAGAAACACTTAGGATCAATATAATATCAAACCTCCCCCCACTCTTTGCAGGTGTGTCCTAATCATAGTGCCATACTGAAGGAGCTGCTTGAAAAAAGTTTTACCACCAATCAAACTTAGGGTCTCCACACCTGATTGGGAATCTGTATTGTCTCTTAGACAACTTGCCAACTAAGGCAAGAAGGCCCAGTATACCTTGATCTATATCTTATGAGAAGTAGATTCATGACTTTCCCCAAGGTTATTTGTGTGAAAGTAAATGCAAGAAGCCCCAGCCAAAATTCAAATTAGCTTTGCTGATATTGTTTTCCATGTCATTGCTACATCACTTCACACCTTGCAATTACTCAAGGTCTATAAAAAAAATGAAGAATATGGCTTGACCATCATTTACCTGAAGGAAGATGATGACTTGAATAAAACAGTTGGTTAAATGAAAACTGATAAACACATATACAGTGTTAATAATTATGGTGACAAATAATGAATTCAAAGAAAACCTAAGGTTAACAATAATTTAAATAATCCTCTATTATTGTACTTCATCCACCTTTAATAAGCAGTTATCCTATTATAATTGTGGCTGGCTCTCCCTTCATTAGTTTGCACGACCGTTACGCCTTGTCAATTCCTCATAAATAATGAACTCTTCCGTTTTGATCGTGTGAAAAAAAAAAACTGGAAAAACACTACTTGGTTACAGTGAGAAAATGAAAGAAGAAAAGGGAAGATAGAAGTGAACCGAGAGAATCAGATTAAGCTGATAAGAACAGATACTAGACTTTGATCTCAGGCAAAAGGCCAAGCGGTGATTGTATTCTCTTGCCACCCGATGCTGGCAGAATGTGACACAAGGTCAGTTTAATGTGGGGTGTTTGAGCGCACACCCAAGACAGGTCCAAAAATAGCCCAGGCCCTGCAACTGTTGGTTGCATTGTCATCAATATTACTACTAATCCTCCTCTTTAGTGCAGTGAGGGAGATACTGCCATGGGTAGCTGCTTCCTGAGACCAGGCACTTCTCAATAATATTTTCAGTTGTGCTCTGTCTGAAGACAGGGACACAACTTAGAGATGAAATGTAGTTTGATCCCAGTCAAATGGCCGAGAAACCACAATGATCATGATAAAAGCCCCATATTTAAAATGCACAGTATTGAAAGACACAAATCAAGTAAGGCAATTAACATAACATCATCTACTGAATTATTTTAAATTATTATTAAGAGAAATGTTTGTAAGATGGGGGTTTTGCTAAAAAGAAAGAAGGGAAGGTAATACCTTATAAATAAGGAACTATTCCATTGTGATTGCATAGAAAGACAAAAAACTTACACTACTGGGTTTCAGTGAGAAAATGAAAGAAAGAAAAGGAAGATAGAAGCATTTAATGTCTGTTTCAATGAAATGGAAAAGTTGTCAATTTCAAGTCTTTTCATTTGTATCCCCTTACTTCTTAAAATAATGACCAGCATTCATATTTATGATTGTTATTGTAATATTTTGTTAAAGTTGTTAAGCTCAAATATTTAATGATGTGATAGAGGAGTTTTTATGAATATTTTATTGTCATAGAACTCACCATATGCTTATTCAGTCATTAACTTAAGAATGAAGATTCATCTGAATATTCAAATAGAAAAACCATGAAATTTCCACAGGTCTTTCTAGTATTCATTATTCAACCTAGTTGCAATTAATGGTAGACAATGTAGTAACAATAGTTCAATTATGGTAATTCAATGAAGCCTAAGTTGTACTTGTCAAAATATTGTGATTAGATTGCATCACTATTTTAGTCAATTAAACTTACTCGATTTTGTCAAGTGTTTTATTCAAGTCATTGATACTGCCAGATCTGTGGGCCTGGCAAACAGTAGTGAAGCTGAAAATACTTACTTAATGATAGCAGTTCTCGGACGCATGTTTGATATTCCTCTTCACTCATTCTCACTCGTAGCTGAATATTCTTAAGATGATACCGTTGCTTTAGCTGCCTTGTAACAAGTCCTTTCTGTAAACGATCTAATAATACTCCTGAGGCATACATGTTCCACAGTTCTTGTAAGCCATCAAAAGTACGGCAGTGAAATTGAAAACAGATACTGCTATACGTAATGTTTTCAAGATCTCTCCCAGTGTCATGTTTGCATAATAATTTAATCACTTCCAAAGATTCTTTGATAACAGCATTTGTTCCTGTCAGCTCTTTGCGGAATTGTTCAAAAGCTGCGGGGCTGTCATTCTTACGACGAATTTGACTGTAAGCGTTTTTAGCCATTATAAAAATTTGCTTTTCAAGTTCATCACAAGAACAAATAGGACTATCATTGCGATAACGTTTATCTTTTTGAAGATGTTCAACACCGACTTTGACATTAATGTCACCTGAAAAGATACAAAATAAAAAACAGTCAGTCAGATATTTATCAAGTTTGGTTCTATAAATTTAGAATAAAATGACTAAATTTTAGTCGCTAATGATAAGAAACTAACCCTTCATTAGTAATTACTAAGACACCTCTACTAAACTTTATTGGGAAATACTACAATGGTGAATCAAAAAGTAATGCAATTTGCTTTGTTTTTTTAACTCTGTACAAGTCCCGGGAGCCACTCGAGGTAGAGGGTTATAAAATAAGAGGCACAGTTTATGAAGATATGTGGGAAGATAACCATAGACTTGAACAGGTTAACATTGTAATGATTGGGAAAACATTCTCTTGGGAGTTGGTTCCATAGTGCAGTGATTTGCAGGAAGAAGATGCTTACTTCTCACCAATTGAATACGAAGGGAATGAGTGTAGTTCGCTACAGTGCATCTAGCATAGCAGGTCCTAGTCATGAAGGTTAGAAATGGTGGAACTAAGGAATGTAGTTTGTCTGAGCACTTTTCATGGAAGTAATAACAGGGCAGTGAGAGGCTTGCAACATTTCGTCTGTGAGAGAGGTGTTGCAGGGTGGAAAATAACCCATCATCCACACAGCTGTGGAGACGCTTTTGGACTATATCAAGACTGGAAATTGAGGAATGTGCAGCTCCTGTCCAAGTATGACAACACTACTCTATTTTAGGAATTGATCTGGCTCTTGTAAAAGTAGAGGATATCATGCGGAGTCAGGTACTTACTGGAGCGGTACAGGGAACTGAACATTTTTCCTACATCTTTAGCGATGGATTGTATCTGTGATGATGCAATGTAATTAGTTTGTTTTTTGAGGCATTGAATGTAACCAGTCAGATTCCCCCCCCACAACAAATGTTTTTGTTTTATTATACTAGAAATAAGGAACACAATCGAACTTATTGTATATCAAGATATAGTTATACATCACAGTTTCACATCCATATTTCTCAACATAGTCACCACCTCTTTCATTGGTAGTGTTCCACCTACAAGTCCCAGCTTAGTAAAAATTAAGCTGGTCGCTGATATAGCCAATTACTTATAACAGTTTTCACTTCTTCATTACCACCATAACTTTTGCCCCTTAGCACCACTTTCATTGGACCAAAGAGACGAATGTTTGAGGGTGCTGAAGTCAGGTGGTGATGAAGAAATGAAAACTATTGTAAGGAATTGGCTACATCAACAATCAGCTTAGTTTTATGAAATGGGGATACATGCCCTTATACGTAGGTGGAACACTGCCATTAAAAGAGGTGGCAACTATGTCGAGAATTATGGATGTGAATCTGTGATGTATAGCTAGATGTTGATGTATGATAAGTTTGATTGTGTTTTGCAGGAAAATGAAATAAAACCAATAAATAAAATAATACTAAAAAATAAAAAAAAAAATATAAATTAATTTTTTCATGATGCAAGTTATAAAGAAACTGGAAGGAGTTTCTGGTCATGTGTGCAGTTTTATGACCCCACTTCCAGAGAGGACAGAATCTTTCTCTTTCCACTTTTCAATGATATCATTTGAACGTGTTTTGTGCAGCCCTATGCATGAAATAGAAATTCAGCCATCCCAACTCATAATGAGGCTGACTTGAGCTCAACCATCTTTACCCATTCTTATCCTTACTTCCCATAAATCATTTCTGAACAAAAAAGGAAAACGAAAATATTCAAGAGACATTTTAACTTTGTTTTAATACAGCCAACATAAAAGAAATAAATGTTTGTAGCAGGAACTCAAGTTTTTTTGCATGTTTCTTCTATTTTTTTGTTTATATATTGAACAAGCACCTTCATCTAAAAAATACACACAAAACCCATAAGCTTGTTAACATCAACAGTTCTTTTTTTTATATAACAAAACAAATTATATTACTTTTTGACTCACTATTGTAAAAGTCTTGGTATTTTTTAATTTTTGGAAGTGGATCAAGCAGAGAACCTTTTATTGTCTCCCCATAATATTTAAAAACATTTACTCAAATCTGAAAATGTACCAAGCTTAATTCTTGATGCCAGAATTAAATACTACTACTGATTCTAGCTTGCCAATTGTGTTCAATTTTGCAAAAACGAACTTGGAAAAGTCATAAATCTATCTCTTCTTTTTCTATCTATGGGTTAAATAGTGAAGTAAACTCTCTAGCCTTGGATGGTAGCCACTCTGGAGAAGAACAACTCCAAACTTCTGAAAAAGCAATGGGAAACCACTTTCCCAAGAAGGCATGGTAATTCATAGATAATAAAGAAAAGGAAACTGTGGAGAATCATAATCGCCTACATCCTGAAGGAACATAATATTTAATCCTATCAGCCTTCTAGAGATTTAAATTTTGAAATCTGAGATAAATAACAGTAGAGAGGTTCAGATCCCCAAAATCATAACTGCAAGGTTGTAATTCCAAGGGTCATAAATCAATCTTGCAAGTCCAATGTCAGAAAATACTGGGGGTGTAAATCAAAAAGGTCAAAAATTCACATCACAACGCACACTTACCGCTTCAACCATGAAGAGCCAATGTAATCCTGTGGTCTAAAACAGTGTTCTTTTATTGAGGTAAGAAACATTGTGATTGGTTGATATTTTTTGAGAATACCAAACAATTATTATATATCATAGTATACTAAAGCCAACCCGATCTGATTTTCTTTTTTGACAAACAGCACAGAAAACACAAATTCTTTTTCAAGGTATGACTTTGGTTTTCTCCTTTGTCACTAAAAATCCTTGGACTGTTGAAAAAAGGTGAATATGTGATATTAGTGCAATTAAATTGATATATTTAAAAAACCATTGAAAATTAAGTGTTACATGTTCATTTTATATGAAAGTAAATCTATTTCTCTTTCAAATTATACCAAATTTAACCTCATTGGTATTACTGGTTATGAGATATGGTTTTGTAAATCTAAAACTGTGTAAAAGTTTTAGATTTCTAGAACCTCTAGTCGATTATATGACAGGGGTTAATGGTATGTATTGAAATACAGAGCTACTTGAGTGAAGGCTTATTCAGGATGGTAAGCACATTAAACTTGCACATTTGAGAGTTTCTGGCATTAAAGGGTTAAAAGAAAAAGAGTAATAATATGGCTACCGTTGATGATGATTTTGTACATTTTTAACACACGGTAATTTATGTAAAGTAATGGAATATTAAACTCACCTGCTTTTCTTTTTGCCTTTCTTTTGGAGCTTTGGAGCAAATCTGCTAAATGATCTTGCAAAGATTTCCGTAAAGCATCGACAAAAATGCTGAAAGCCCTATCTGATTTGCGAACAAGCGTGTCTAAAAGTTCTTCGTTTGTAGCTTCTCGTCCTGAACTCTCTCGAATCTTACTGACCTCACTCGATGTCAATACTTTGTTTGACAGCAATACATTGAATATGTCGTCTGGAGTCATGTTTTCTACCAAATAGGGTCTGTTCTCTTGCAAACGTTTTTTGTGTGCATCACTCATTAACTGATTGCCTGAAAATAAACAGAGATTAAATAACAGATCGGGAGAGAATATTTATACTTTAGAACTAATTATATTTTGAATGCAATTGCATACCTTCAACTGCAGATAAAATGTATCCTTGGTCATTTTTTTTTATAAAAATGTATTGCTGGTATTTTTACTATAAAACTGTATTTTTATACTTTCTTGTGGGTTTACTATTTGACCATAACTGGGACCCTAACAGGTGCTACCACCTTGGGTCAAGGTGAATCTGAGAAACAGTAATTTAAATGTGGTACCATGCTCCTCAAAACATCCACTCTCTCAATCAGAGGTCTTGCTGCCGGATGTAGTTTATCATCATACCCAGGACTTAGTTCATTATGTTCACTTTTGCACAAATACCTTTGGGAAAAGTATGAATCCATCTCTTCCCCCAGCTATGGGTAAAATAGCAGGACTGACTGGGCCTTCTTGCCTTGAAGTGGCAACTAATCTAGAAAGAAAACTGAATCCAAAACCAGTCTGAAGAGGGATGGTCTCTGTCAGGCTATCTTGTCCTAGACACACACCCAACTCTCTAGATATCATTGCCAACCAATTTGGGAGAAGGAATACTAAATCCCAAACCTGCCTGAAGTGGAATGGGCTCTGTCAAGCTATCTTGCTCTAGACTTGTAACAGGGCAGTGACCCTGGTGGAGTCATACTGGTGCATGGAAAGTGGTTAGTGACTTGAGATATTGAGACTTAATAATTCTAAAGGAGTAGAGATATTAGAAGGAGAAATTTATGGGAGAGTGGTTATTCGGATTGGCGTCTGATAGCAAAAAGTCTGGTTCAAAATATGAATTTTGACCCATAAAATACTCATAAGGAGGGCCTCATAAGAGTTTGAAATCAAATTAAACTAAGTAAAACTTAGTAAAATTTAGTATAAATTACCTACCCCAACTCCATAGTCCCAGAATGGTTGGCATGAAATGACTAATGTGTTTGCCAAAAGTTCAGAAGATTTTCGATTTCTATAGAGTTGTTTATTTAAAGACCTATTTGTCATAGTTGTGTTGATTTCAATGTAATTTTGGAAACTTAAAAATCCAGGCCCAAACTGAAAAACACTTTGTGGCCAGCCATCTGGAGTTCATACAAAAGTTTTTTGTTTGTGATGCTAATTAATCTTGTCTATTTTACAGATGGAAATCGATATAAATGGAATATCAATGTATACAAATCAGTTGGCATATCAGTTAGTCACTATCAGTAGAAACTGAACAGAATGAGTTAAGTTCAGTTGGAGATGCCTGCATGCTCCATTCAAATATCATGCATATCCGCTGTAAAACTAATTCACTTCTAATTCTCAGTACCTCAAAGGGTTATATTTTGAGATGAAGCAGGCTTGTAGCTGTTGTACGATTTTACATTTCACCTCTAATTAAATCTGCAACAGCATCATTTTCTTTTGAATGATACGTTTACCCCTTTTCAGTTGGGTCATCCAACATATAGGAAATAATCAATTGAATTCTCACCCAGACCAACAAAAAATCCATGATGTGAATTCATCATGAGTACACAATGAACTTGAATCCAGTAGATGACACATCCTGGTGAAGCAAAATCTATTGCACCAAATGAAAAGCAACTTTTACCTAAGCACCCCCCCCCACCTCCATTAAGATGTGCTGTAACTTGGAAACCAACATAAGTACTGAGGGCTATAATTAGTGCAGTGACCATGACATCAACAAATAAGATATACATACACCCACACATGTAATGGATTATATTTGCTGCCAGATGAGAGGTTATAGACACACCATTGCTACTATATCTGCAGGTGTCTATACAATTCTAATAGTTTACAGGACTCATGGTGATTTTCTAAGTGTAGCTCAGATGTGGCACAAGGTTGAAAGTTTGGGAGTACTCACATTTCAGTCATAATTGATATAGCGAGACAAGCTTGATAACAATTACACCATGTTGGGGTTCTGACTGAAATTCCTGGAAATGAATACTTCCTTCTTTTTAATCTCACATATTAAAAAAATTGCATCTTTTCTTTTTTTTTCTTACCTTCTTCTTCTTCACTGATATTTTCATCAGATTCTTGTTGTTGTTTTCGTTCCAGATTATAACTATCGTCACGGCTTTTTTTACTGCTGACAGACGGCCCGGCAGAATCTTTCAACTTTGACGATGAAGACTGATCACTTTCCTGTAGATTCAAAAGCTCTTGTTGAAGTTTTGCTAATAACTGTTTCTTGTCAGAATGTTTTTGTTTCTCCTTTAGTTTTTCTTTTTGTCTCTGTAGCTTCTGTATTTTTTTGTCAATGTTTGTCTCATCATCAGAGTCATCTTCATCGGACATGACGGCCTCTCACTCCCCCTGTAGCCTTAAGGAGAAAAAAAAAAGAATGGAAGCAAAAAATGTAATTAAAAATCAATAAAAATTAGTCAACAGCCTTTAAAAGTTTCTTCAATTTTTCAGTGGATTTAGATATTTACTGAAAATGATTTCCTTATCAAAAATATAGCAAATGGTTTTACCAAACAAATGTATTGCAAATAATTTACTATAAAAATACATTGTAAAATGGATGTGTGGGCAGTGTAACAGTTAGCAACTTGGAAAAAGAAATCAGTAAGCTGAGTTCAAATCCCAGCTGAGTTCATTACATTCACTTTCACACAAATCCATTGGAAAAGTTATGAATCCAGTTTTTTTCTCTCCCCAAGGGTTAAATAGCAAAGATGACTGAACTGATTCACTTTGAGATGGCAACTAGTCTAAAAGAAAGAAAACTCTAAGTTCAAAACCAGCCTGAAGGGGGATGGGCTCCGTCAGGCTATCTTATTCCAGATACACCAGTACATGTGGCACTCCTACAACCCTAATGAGTTATGGGACTTTTGACACTGCAAAAATTTGTAATAGTAACATATTATAAATGTAGACTTGGAAATTGGTCTTCCTGGAGTAAAACCATCCAAGGTGAGGACCAAGAAGTTCAAACGTCAACAACATGAAGAGGATCTGCGACGTGTTGTCAGGAGGGCCCGATATGGCTAGCCATGTCCACCACCTGCACTTCTCTGTGACTCCTGCTTGTGACTCTTCAAGAGTAGGCTGGGCCTTCACAGCCATCTCTGCCACTGCCACCAGAGGGGAGCAAGGGAACAAGGAGAGAGGATGACGATGCGAGCAGATGCTGATGATAAATGATTACTATAGAAATAACAAATGACTTCATTCTAAATATGCATTACCAATGATTTTACTGTAGATATATTGAAATAATTTTAAAAGAGAAATGAACTTTTAATTATTTGCTAGAGAATACATGAATTCATCATAAGTAGTTTTGCTATACAAATACATTACAAGTAATTTTACCAAAGAACTGTATTGAAAATTACTTTTAACAGAAATGTGTTCTTCAAAGATATTTTTATGAAAATGTATTGTACTATAATGCCTTGCAAATGATTTTACTGTTCATTTGAATTGTAAAAGATTTATTATGAAAATGTACTCAGACAATTCAAATAATTTAAAATAAATGTGTATTTCTGCACATTTCTTACCACTTAAATCCTGTGCAAATATAATTGCATTGTGGGTAATTAAACTTACATAAGTCACTAACCAAATGCAGAGACATTCTTTAACTAAATTATAAACAATTATACACTGTAATTAACTTACCCAAATTAAAATTTAAAAGAAACATTTTAAAGTTTCAACGTTTGAAGATCTGGTTTTATTTACGACTATGTGCAAATCATGGCTATAAATAGCAGACAACTGAAATCCCTGCTTTTTTTACTTTGTTGATTTGTAAGAAGCCCTTCATACTGCAGTTAAACTCTTCTTTTTGATGAAGCTATATTCTTTATTAGGATGTGTGGTTAGTATATAATGGTGTTATCAGTGAAGAGTGAAATCTGCCTAGCTTTGTTCCTTCAATTTCACACTAATATCCTTGGCAAAGGTGAACAAAATGTCAATGAGAAATGTCTCTCTTGAAAAATATGTCGCCACTGGCTATCTCAACTGCAAACGTGATCTTTTTATATGCATTCAAATCACATCTTGGAAACAACAAATACTTCCACTACAAATTTATGGGTTAAATAGTAGGGTAGACTAAACTCTTTAGCCTTAGAGCGCAGACAGTCTAGGAAAGAGATTACTCTAAATCCAAAACTGCTGAGAAGCTAATGGAAAACCATTCCAAAAAGTAATGTTAAAATATTATATGAAAAAAAGGAATCTGTAGAGAGCCATGACTGACAGTTTTCAATGGAGGTGAAATTAAAATAAAAGAATATACTTTATTGTGCTGTTACAAAAGTTTTATTTTTTCCTCATCAGTTTTGCCTCTTTATCATTTTTCCAAGTTGATTCAAATGACAAAATATTTGTATATTTTAAAACTTACTTGAAATTTCATACATTTCTTGAAGTTTCCTTTTTATATTTTATACAATTTTCATTTATCTTGTCTAAATATGCTATTCACTTTTTCTTTTGTTTGTTTTTTTTAACCAAATTAGTTATATGGTAAACTTTGTATGATTGATCAAAAGGTCAATAAGACATTTTTGTACTAATTTTCTCCTTGGTCAATATTAATATGCATTTCTTTGTAAGCAAGTTCATGATACTGCTACATGATTATTGCTATACATATTTGATTACTAATCCGTTAATCCATGTCACTAAATCTCTTGTTATTAAATATTTTCATTATCAAATGCGTGAATATTGTCCTTTGCTTATTCCTTTCCTAAATCTGTCTATTGTCTGTAAATAGAAAGCCGGGGGTGGGGGAAGCTGGGTGGAAGTTGCCAACCCCAATGCAAGGGAGAAAACTCTGACCTTTTTATTCGATGACTATTACTAGTGACCGTTGTCTTCTACAAATACTAACATAAAACAATTTGCTA